CAATTTCACTCTTTTTATCACATTGGAGGAAGACCAAATCCCACATTTTTCAATTTCCTTTGACTTTGAAAGTTTCATTTTAGTTTCAACTTTCTTATATTTAGTATTCAAATATAAAAAAAAGTATCTTTGACCGTTAATAATAATTTTGGTCTCCCTTGTACTACCTAAACTAGTCATACCTTTGATGACAGTTGTTTGTTTACATCAGTTACATTAAAAATCCAGAGTTACTTGCTGACTTCTGGCTCTGCAGGTGATTTTTTTTTTTTACCTTTCAAAGTGAACTAGGGTAGGGTAGTAAAGTTCGATCTTCTTCTGCAAAACTAATCATTTTTAACAAAAATAACATTTCTAGAGAGCTAAATGATTTATCTATCAATATAACGTCCCCCGGGAGCGTTTTCTATTATAATGAAAAAGAATTTTGAAGATAAAATATATATTTTACTATAACTTTTTACACAAGCGTCGTACACACTCTGGGTGGGTTGCAAACCCTTCAGCATCCAATTTTACCACAGAATCACGTGATTTCTAAGGTCACCTACAACGATTAGCGAACGAAAATTCAGCTCGAATAAACGGCCTGAAACGCACTGCAGAACCTTGTAGTTTTAACTCAAAAATCTATAATGTTACACATTTCTCCCCCCATTGAAACTAACATGGCAACAAAAAGCACATATAGACCTATCGTTTCTTGTTGGTTTTATGATGCTAGGCTAAGAACTAATAAAGTTGGTCGAGAAAGAGAAAAAAACGGGATTTTAGCGGAAATCCGCACTCGCCGGGCGAGCGTGAAACCCCCTACTGGTAATTAAACAAAGGTGGAGCTCCCATCTCCAAGTCATGTAAGTTAAACTCTCTTTGCAATAGTCATGAATAACCACTGAGTGAGGGCAGTTGTGTACTCGTTTTGCATTTTCAAATTGAAGTGAAGAGCTGTAGAGTTGAAGCTGACGATTTGTTGAAGAGAGAATTTTTGGGGCGAATATGTTTAAGAGTTGCTTTTTTTTTTTTCTTCTAGTGACAAATTATTAGTATCATCTACCCGGCACTGATTAACTTATCAATGATTCAAGAATGGTACATGACAGGCAGAGCAAGGGGTGCACACTTAAAGTAAATTAACTGCTTCACTGCTGCTCGGCGTACAGTGCATGTCCATAAACCGAGCCCTCCTGTGCGCTGTAGGCGTACAGTATAGCTATTTTGTTTCGTTTCCTACTCGGACGGTAATTGCAGTATAGTATCGAGAGTGGGCTCGGGCTCCCCTGAACTTTTCTTCCAGAGTTAGAGAAGCTTTTGTTTGCCCTAATTAGACTAACAATAACAAACTGGAAAAGGTCCTTTTTCCTTTGGCTTTGCTCAGATCAAGCCCCATCCGCTTCCGCGAGCTGCGACTTTTTGACGTTGGGAGCTGGGGAAGGGTCATTAGGGTTTTGGAATTCCATATGGGTTTTATCGGTGATTCGACTACGGGGCTCCCCGCCCGCCACCGAGCTCAACAAGGGGACACATATTTCCAATAACCAGAGCTGTGCCAGGGCTACCCCGAGCTGTACTCTTCACGAGAGTGTGTAAGACCCTCCCATCAAGATTGACCCAGGGCCTGAAGGGGTTTCAGCTCCCAACCGATTAAGTGGCATGGGCCGCGCCACCCTCCCATCTAAGAGGAAAACCTGGGCCAATGAGGCGTGTTGGCGAGGGACAGTCCGCAGACTGATCTCACCTCAACCGCCAGGTACCCGGACCAAACCAGAAACTTTTCATGTACACAAAATTTCACTTATTGAAAGACAGCCCTGCTTTATTTTTCTTTCGCCAGAGATATTATTCCTCAATAAATTGAGCTTCCTACTTATTGAAAAATTTGATACGAACAAAAAATTAATAAAATAACCCACGAAAAAAGTGCTTTTAAAGCACCCAGGTACAATACTGCCTGATACACTGAACAGTTACTCCTATCCCCACCAACTTTTCAAAACAGTAAAAAATAACATTAGAAAAATTTATACATTATATACATTAAGTCTCCGCTTAAGATCCCACCACTTACGATCCCAGTTCGCCTAAGATACCGCTGTTTTGGAAAAACAAAATATTTACAATATTCTCCGTGGTTTTATGCACGCCACATAATTTAGCAAAATTTGATCCTTTTTTGCATAATTTCTGGTTATTTTCTTTTATCATTCTTTGTTAAAATTAACAGAATCGCATAATTTCACATTTTTGGGCTCAGTTTGCATAATTTCTTAATTTTTCTTGGCTAAAATGACGGGGACAGATATAAAAGTCACCCCTAAGCCTAAGATCCCGCACTGAAGGAGCCACATTCGGCTAAGATCCCGCTTTTTTGGTCATAATTTTTTTAAAAATTTATTTAAGAAAAAAAAAGAATAAGAAATCTAGGCATGCTCAGATGATCAACCAAGTAGCGAAAATGTGCGATCATTGTACGATCCGTCGCGTCACGGATCATCCACTCTAGTGAATGCGATCACATCTCTGCTGTAAATCTCGACAAGCGGTTACAATGTTTACCCGAGATGGGATTGCATTAAGGTGTGAACTCGTCAATGCCTTTCTTTCCCTTGAGCCGTCCACCTGATCTTACATACACACTAGGTGGGGAGGGCCCTCAAGCAAGCATCAGACTGCATTCCGTCAATGTGAACTCGTGGACGTTTACGTTTGTCCTACCATCGCTTGTCTTTCAGTTTTGCGCTTTAACTTCCAAGACAGACTGGGGCCCATACTTGTGAACAGTCCGATCGCCCAGGGTTGGTGATTATTTTTTTTTTTTAATAAAAATTAAAAAATCGATTTTTTAAATTTAAATCAGATTTTTTAAATTTAAATCGGATTTTTAAAAAAATTTTTATTTCTTTTAAAATGTCGACACAGTTTGGGATTTTTGGTGGCTAAAAGTATGTTCTTTTAGTGCAGAATGCATTGTCTTTATTTTAACTAATGATTAATATAAGCAACTGCAAAAGAAAGCCTTAATCTGCTATTATCAGTGAATTATGGCTTCAGACAAAAAATGAAGAAAATGTCAGTCTAAAAGGAAAGGGGGGAGGGGGTAATTATGCATAGATAAACTTGTATTTTATTACAGTGTGTGTGTGTGCGCGCGCTTGTGTTTGTCTAAAAAGAAAAAGAAAATGCTAATTTCAATTATGACAAAAAAAGTAAATTGAATACTGTATTAATTTACTACTTACAGTGACAGGGGTGAAAGCAGACTTTTAAGCATGATTATATTAGTCTACTAAACCTTATATCTGTTTTATAAAACCAAGGAAAGGAATTCTGAATGTTTAAAGACGTAAAAACAATACATTTTTTAAAGTGATTTAAATCAATGAGGTTTATTTTTAAAATCAAGTTGATTTAAATTTTTAAAAATCAACTATTTAAATCAACCCAACCCTGGTTTTCAATTATGAAAAGAAAGAAAATTGAATACTGTATTATTTTACAGTGACGGGGGGGGGGGGGGGAAGCAAACTTTTAAGCATGATTCTATTAGTCTACTAAACCTTATATCTGTTAAATAAAACCAAGGAAAGGAATTCTGAATGTTTAAATATGTAAAAACAGAATACATTTGTTTAAAGTTATTTAAATCACAAAATCAAGTTGATTAAAATTTAAAAAATCAACTGATTTAAATCAACCCAGCTCTGATTTCAATTATGGAGGGAAAAGTAAATTGAATACTGCATTATTTTACAGTGAAAGGGGGGAAAACAGACTTTTAAGCATGATTATATTAGTGTACTAAACCTTATATCTGTTTTATGAAACCTAGGAAAGGAATTCGGAATGTTGAAATATGTAAAAACTGAATAAAAATAAATTTTTTTTAAAGTGATTTAAATCACTGATTTTATTTTAAAAATCAAGTTGATTTTTTTTTAAAATCAACTGATTTAAATCAACCCAACCCTGCGATCGCCTCTGCGTAATGGGGTCATCTGTTGACAGTGAACCTGCCTTTCATTTTTTATTAGGCCGGTGTAGTCACAACCCAACAATTTATGAAGCATCATGACACGGGCGGGGAACTCCATTAGAGATGGAAAGCAATAAATTTTTGGTGGGGGGCATTGCTTGAAGACAACTGCTTCCCAACTGACACAGAAATTTAAAGCCCCACCCCGCCCCCAAATAAAAAAAAGGAAAAACTGACTTCTGAAAAGAACTTTCACTTTCAGTGCCCAGGAGTCACATCCGTTCATTTTAAAGTAAGGGAAGATCATTGGCCTGACCACGAGTTCCTGTGGATTTTTCCCCCTGACCATTTGGCTAGATCCCGCATTTTGCTTGCTCCCGAGCACCGGGATCTTAGGCGGAGACTACAGTACAGAGAAAAGCAAAAGTCGAAGAACCTGCCTTAAACAGAACTTGTCCAGGACAGAAACCTGTCATAATCGAATCTCCCCGCTCCCCCCTTGACAAATTCATCTATAATACACCTGTCTAAGATGGAAACCTGCTCAAGGAAACAGAAAAATTCCTTCCTTTCGGAAGGTCATTACCTGTCTAAGTCAGAAAATATTTTGCCTGCTCAGCCCTGATTTTAAATTAAACAAAACTCCCATCACGTGAGCCCTGAGTGGTAGAGCTGGAGTCTGCTCGATTTATCCATGGCTTGCGCGCAGTGGTGGCAATGTACAAGCAAGACTGACGCAAGCCATTATCAGAGAGGCTTGGATAGCACATGGGAGATGTGAAGTTTTCACCGTCGCTTGCCGACCTAAAAGGCAACCCTTGATCCCACCGCCCTCCCAAACAATGTTTTTAAAATATTTTTTCTCGCTCCCCTGCAATTCTGTCTTGGACAATTTCGACTATTATATTTTTTTCTTGTCCTTAGTCAATAAAAAACCATGCGCTCAAACACAACCGAAGTCAAATCATGAAACTGCTTGAGAGAATAATGAATACAACTAAGAACCATGTTGGAGATCACAATCACCTACCTGACTGAGTTTTGTCTTGCCCATTACTTGGTCTGACTAATCCAGAGTTCATTGCAGGTTCAATGGCTTCTTGATTTTCGTTACTTATTCCACTATTTAATCGTCCATCAAGGATTCCTGAGAAGTCAGTGAGTTCATTCAATCCTCCAGCATATCCAGTTGGCGATACCTGAAGAATGAAAAATTAAAATGACACAGACATAAAGACATACAGTTGAACCTGTGTAAAACGGCCACCCATTGTCAAGGATAAAAGTGGCCGTATAACACAGGTGGCTGTTTTTGAGCAGGACTGATCAAAATGAAGAAAGTAAATTATCATTCTCTTAAGAAGTCCAAACGGGGGGCTGATTTCAGCAGTGCTTCCATCCACCAGCTGAAGCTGGAAAGTAAGGAAAATTCTGCCGAGGGTCTGGGGGCCGCATAGGTCCCCAGCAGGGTCCAGGGACAGTGACCCGGTGGAAGTTCAGGGGCGAACCTCCCAAAGAAATTGAAATTTAGTACTTTTAGAGGGTTGAAAATGGCATTTGGGAGCCTGTTTGAAGAGATTGCCAACAACCAATATGACCTATTTTTTCACCAAGAATTTGCCTCGTTTGATTTCTTCACCTACATATCTTTCCATTGCTGGCAATGTTTAAAAGCAGGTTCCCCTTCCATTGCTACTATAATTTAATTAATTTGTCATCGCACTATTGATAGAAGGCAAACCTGGAAATAATGAATAAATATATACCTTCACCATTCACTCATAGTCGGATCTAAATTTTGTCTAGAAATGTCTTCAAAACATTAGAAATAAAACCGTACAACCCGGCATCCATCGGATTTTAGCCCGATGTTTCCAACTATCCCACCTGCGAGGGAGGGAATGAGGGTTGACTGTTTTTGTCGCGCTAACAATGAGGGGCCACGTGCTATGTTACCGACTAACCACGGCTTCGACTCGTCTCCGGGCTTGGTTTGATAGTCAAGAATTCGCTCACGTAACCGTGTGAGCTCTTCAAAAGGGAAATTTGTGGAATATTTCTAGTTGGTTTCATTTGGGAGTTATAGATATGGTTGTTCCCTCTTTTTTCTTCGTTTTAATGCTGCTGATAATGTTATTAATGACTAAAACTCCCCACTGTTCCCACAGAACTGTTTATCTCGTGAAAAGACAATGCCGGTATTTCAAACGCATCTTTATGGATTTCGTTTTATATGACACTATTTTTTCTGTCCACGTGTTCTTTTTTATCTTTGTACTTGAAATTTACCGAATTATGAAGGCATTTTCCCTTATTCAGACTACTGTCTCTTCTCCTTATCATTTTTTCAATCGCATTTGAATGGACGAAGTTGGTAGCTTTTCATTCTTCACTAACTCACTCAAAACAAAAAATGTGGGACCTGTCCAGCGTGTGCCCCCAATGATCGTTCTTTTTTAAAGCGTTTTTTTTTTATTTGCAGTGTTTATTGCAGTCATTACCTTTTGAAACATCTTTCGACTTTCTTTGAAAGCTCATTTCGTTTGTGTTTTGCGTAGATTATTTTTTAAGTGCAATAACCTAATGCTTTATCTTTATATCAAACCTTAACTTACATAACGCTATAACATTCAATAAGATGATGCCACGCTTGCTGCGTCACCTCTGACCCTCAGAGCAGTGGAAAGTGATCAACGTGACCAGGCTAATGTCACATCAGCTGATAATACAACAGTTATGTCACCTTTGATCTCTGAGAAAAGGACACGGCATGAAAACGATTGGAAGGGTAACATAAGGAAGAGGTTGAAAGAACTGGGGATGCCTCTACACATGTCAAGGTTCGAAGCGAGCAGGTTGTGGACATCTTTTGTTGGTACAAAATGCAATGACATCACTGGTCACTCTCTTGGACAGAAAAGAGAGCCTACGTATAGGCCACGATAAACAGGATAGACAAAAAGAGATCTTACACAGCAAGCGATAACCCAAGGAGAAATTACACCCTTCAATACCACTTAAAAGATTCAATGGTAAAAGAACACCTGTTTGTAAAACAATCTTCATGAACACCAAAGGCCTGACCCACTTGTTTATTTAAAGTGTCTTCTCCGAATAAAAAAAACCAAGAGACCCCCCCAGAACACATCATGCCCACCATGAGAGAGCCAAGGATGACAAGTTGTTCCATAGAGGAATTTTTTCACTCTTTTGAAGATATCCTCCTGTCTACAGATGACAATCCAGGAAACGTCAGATCTCAATCAAGTATACATGGAGAACTTTGCAGAGAGGGTGAAAGCCACATTGAGCTATCAAGTGTTCTGCCAAAAGTTTAAGAAAAACAATTTGGGCTTACTTTTAACCAAGAAAGACCAGTGCAACATTTGCGCCAGCTTCGAATTTGGAAACCTTACAGAAACAGAATACACAGCTCATCAAATAAGAATATGAGGAAAGCAGCAGCAGACCAGAGAAGGAGAAGGATAAGGAGGCTGTACTGAACCCAGAGAACAAAGTGTGTGTCCTTTGTATGGAGATCCAGTGCATCCTTCTGGCCTCATCACTAAAGACATCCACCTTATATTATAAAACAAAACTGGCTGTACACAATTCTATGATTTAGGATCTTGCCACCAGAGACGCCAGATGATATGTCTGGTATGAAAGTGAAGTTGGTCTGAGCTTCAACAGTTTTCATCATGTCTGACTTACTAACTGAAATTGCAAGTGACTGACTTCAACCACTTCATTATCTGCAGTGATTGGTGCAACTACTAAAACAGAAATGCCACCCTGGTGAGTGCAATGGCTTCGCTGACCAAAGAGCTTGACATCACAGTTGAGCAGAAACTCTCACCAAGGGCCATACCCAAAATGAAGGTGGATTCAGTCCATGGCACTATTGAGCGATCGCTCCAAAACACACAGATGTACATCCCAATGGACTACGAGAACATCATGCTCCAAGCCAGAGGCATCCCCAGGCCCTATGAAGTTATGTACCTGGGCCACAGCTTTTTCAAAGATTTCGCAAAGGTCAGAGAGCACTAAACAATCCGTCCAGGGAGAAAAGCAGGCGATCCTACTGTCACTGACTTGCAGGCATCAAAGTACTCCATACTTTAAAATTCAGTACAAGCTGAACTTTGATGATGGATGGCAGGCGCTGCAAGGACCAAGAAAGCTGAACACCCTGTGTACGACGGTTACTGATGGACCTCTCTGCAAAGACAGATTGAAGATAAATGCCAACCAGTATAAACTTCAACAGGAGTTGAAAGCTGTCGTACCACGATGCTACCACAATTATCATGAAAATTTGCCTCAGTAAGAAGTTTTGAAAGCGATCAAGTCAAATTCGATTACTGTAGTCTTTCAAAACAATGGTAACTTTTGTCGTATTGCCTTGTTATAGCCATAGGACACAGAGTGAGACAGACATGCTCTTCTATCGTCGAGAAAACTCAATAAAGTAGTAGTTGTCAAGCCACGCACCTTGAAGAAAGTTGGCGCATCCTTTCTCTCTAGCAATGTTCTGTCATCTGCTTCCCAATGTTCTGTCGCCTGCTTTCGTCTCCTCTTTCTGCCCCCACTCCCTCATCTCCTTTGCCCCCCTCCTCT